AATTACTTGTCGAGCCAAATATTACTGATGCATAATAATAATATGCGAACTTAGATCCTCACACATAATAGTGTGAGGATTTAATTCATTATTTTCTATAGGAACTGAGAGTTAATGCAAAACGAGCGTCTTATAAATTACTCAATTTTTGGGCTTGTGGCCTGTAATAATAAAAGACAGATAAAGACAGAAAGATAAAGAATAAAAGAAATTTTAATTCAACATTTTTTCCTAGAGTCTCATAAGTATTCAAATGTAAACACCCATGTCCATATACGAAATGATTCAATTTCCCATAGCTTTCCTAACTAATTTATTATAGACATAACGAAACAATCAATTACAGTATTGAGAAACAATTTATTTATACATTGACCATTAAAAGTGTCTGGTTTTCGATTTTATTGGCCATTGCATGGACGGGTATTTGATCAAACTGAACAATATTGAGTAGTTTATCGGTGCCCTTTAGTCGGCCATAACAAAACTGTGAACAATGAGGCGAGGCCCCACATTAACCTTTTCAACTCAAAAAAATGGAAAACCATAACGCCGTTTACGAGTAACGTACAGAATAATAGTGTTGCGTGGGCCTCACTGATCGGATCGTCTGCAAAATGCCTTAAGATACTGAATTCAGAGCCTTTCATGCGGTAAACTTTAATCATCCCTGTCTATCATTATTAATTTTGCTGTGGGAAAACCAAAATCAGGGATTTTCAAAGGTCTTCCGAATTTTACATCAGCTTTAATTTTGATCAACTGTTAATTATTATTCATTTTAAGTGAACTCAACTAACGCTATAGGTAAACCTGTTAATTAGAGAAGTCGATTCGTACTCTCAAACAAACACGAGAAACAATGTTTTGATACTAAGTGTTCGTATGAAAATTAAGTTTTCTAAGCGCTGATGAGTTGAATTCTGAGGCATCAGTCGCAAAGCAATAAATAATACAATTCTACAATATTAATAAAATTAATAATTGGAGAAATATTTATTGCTAATTTGAGGACAGGAAATAGTTATCAGTATCGGACTATTTTTAGTGAATAAATTAAGGTAGATGTTTGCAGCAGCAAATGAACATGCTAAATGTCAAGTCACGCCTCTACTCTTGCTTTTAATTGGTAATATCTTAATATTGCTTCTAAAGAACTCTGGTGCGCGTTTCAAGTGTATTTGCGTATGCACTAACCAGTAACAAATTACTGGTTAGTGCTAATAGTTGAAAGATGGCAGAATTTGAATCATGTAATTGATATAAACATAGAGTAGACCCTTAAAGAGTCTATAGGATAGGTGCGGCCGGAATGCCAAGTGCGCACTTACTTTCCGTTTCTTTGGCCGAGATTCCTTAGAAAAAGCGCTATTGAAAGTATTTTAGGTGCACGTGAGAACCTGCAATGAATAGCTTATTTATTCTATTAGGCTTTGCGAAAACGGGCGCCTCGATGGCCTAATATTCAATTTGCATTTTTGTATTCGGATTTTCCTGATAACAATCTGAACTTTCAACCAAGAATTCTAAATGTTTATTTTGTAATTTGATGTAATACTTAGTCCAGTTTTGGTAATAGGACAATGTCTTTAGCTCTGGGTTGAGAGCAAATTAACAGTTTCTCGATTTGAAGAATGCAATTTTGAGCTAATAAAGAGGAAGGAAATACATTTAATTTATGGACCCTCCAGTCACAAATTTTGAATTGTTATTGTTGAAATTATTCTTTTTACAACAAACCAAAACATTGAAGTATAAAGTTAGAACATTCTTAATAGTTTTAAATTAAATTTTAATTAAATTAAAAGTAAAAAAAAAAGAACAAATTTTAGCGTATATGAATAATTAAAAATGAATTTTAATTACCGAATGTTCTAAATAGACCACGGTACTGAATCATCAACGTTATTTTAAAAAAGAACGAATCTAAATTTACGATTTATTTATGTGCAATAATAAATATTTCCACAGAGGAATAGTTTTAAAAGCGCCACAATTGCGGATTTTCTGATTTCCTTTTTCACTAATGATACCGCAGAGAACATAAGCATACCGATGCCTAATTTTCAATGCAAATAATTATTTTGCCTTAGTCCAATATAGCAGGTTAGGAGATGAAGTAATCCAGTTTGTACCTATTCAATATACATCTGTAATGGTATCATTATTTCCATAATAAACAAATTCCGCATTCCTTACAAGGAACATTAATTTGAAGCCATATAACCGTAATAAAGCAATACCAATTTCGGTACCTAATAAAGTACCAATTCTGCTTTAATTAATCATGAATCAATAATTTTATCGAATGCTGAATTACATAATTTCATTTTTCCTTTGAAAGAAACAATTGGTGAATTTGGCAATAATAATTTTTTCCAAGTCAATCAATGTGGATATCAGATGTCGAATTTCTGTTTTCCGTTACATAGTAATTTCATATTGAAAAAAAAGGATCAAGAAAAAAAATAAATTTTGCATTTGGCTAAGAATATTTACATTAACTAGAAATATTGAACAAACGTTTTGTAAATAAATCTATATGTTGCTTATATGCAGTAATGCACTTGAAATTTTTATTGAATGATAGCATTAATTAGTTTACACCCTAAGGTAAATTTGAGGCTATAAACACTTTAATTAGGCACTTGGAACGAAACAATGAGTATACAGGTAGAACAATGGTTTTGGTATTAAGCAATTTGCCTTCGATTATGGTAATTAATGAGCCGACAAGTCGTGGTAATAAACAGTGGGTTACCAACGAATACAATTTTGTAACAGCTTAATTAGGATCTGCATAGGAGAATGAAAATTGAATGATACTTAGAACTGCATTGTTGTGATTGACATTTTAATTATTATTTTAAATAACCAGAAATTTTAAAATTAATTAAATCAATTAAAACGGGTTTCAGTAACTTTTTTTGGGAACAAACCAACTTACGCGCCAATATTTACACCTATAATGAATTTTCGCAAGTCCATAATTACATAATTTTGAACTGAATAATTCGAATACGGGCAACTTCGTGAGAATTCGGACCATCTACGTACATAAATTCACCGTAAATAGGCGGCCATGGATAAAAAAGAAACACCATCTACAACAATCCCACCCACGGATTTCAATTGTTTCGCAAATCCCGAAGAATTTTCGCTGCTAATGTTTTTGTGGATTTAGAGCGAATTATTGGTCGTCAGGTTGAAACCTTTCAAAAGAAGCATTTTGCGCTACTCCAATTTTGCGTTTAAATCGAACTGCAAAATTTAACTAATTGTAGTAAGAAAGTTGAAAAAGAATACAAAAAAAATAATCAACCTGATAAGAACTCCTTAATAAAATACGTTTGAGAATCGTTGACATTGAGGCAAAGCTAAAACTTTGCAATATCTATCTATTAAATTTTGAATTGCTTGAACGGAAATAGACTTTATTATATGCATAGTCGAATACACCTGTACACCTAATTAAAAGCTGATTAATTCTAGACACCATTTTCGGATCCTAATGAGAAACACGTAACCAAACAATACGTTAATGTCTACAACCATATTGTTTTAACATCTACTATAACAAACATGGCACTTCTGAAGAATTGTAATTTGCATTACAATTTGTATAAATACGACCTCTGCTCGACAATCAAGGTTTCGTGACAGAGGCGGCGAAAACATAAAATGATAATTTGATATCCACATTGCATACCAATTGAATAAAGGCGATTATTTATATTTTATTATATTGAAATTATTAAAAGGATATTTTCAAGTCCACGTATATTGTTTTAAAATTGAAATGGTTTCTGCATCAATTTATGAAATATTCCGCATTTGATTTATTTAAAGGCACAATCCTTCCGGGTTAGTTTAGTAAATACATTTTTACAAAGAACAATTGTGGAAGCAAAAAAGCAAGTTTTAGTAAATATGTGGAATTGTTCAAGCCCGACTATGTGGTTGGGTGCATCAGATTTTAACCTTGAGTGAAGAATAAAATAATGATAATTGCAAGCGGATACGAGATTTTTTGTTAAATATTTTGTTACATCAATATAACTGTATTCGTTCGGGAACATAAAACACTGGTTCAGCTGAAATTGCTTTAATTACCTAATCGCAGATGTAATTGTGTTGTTTTGTGTTGGACATATGTATAAGAAATACACATGTAGTGTCTGCTTTAATATAAACAATTGAAAACTTTTAAGTATCTCAATTTTTTTGGCATTTTTCACATATTTATAGAAAAAATTGGATTAACTCACAATGTAATTTGTTCAAAATAATTTAATGGCATTTTTTAGTTTTGATAAACCACGTAAAACTGTAAAATAAATCAAATTTTCCACCACGATTATTTCTTGCTCGAACAGAAAATACAAATTAAACAAAGTGCCAGCTTAATGCTTTGTTGCCTAAAGACACATAGTATTACAGCAATAGTAAAAGTTTAACTCAAAGGGTAATATGATTAAATTCACATTATGGATGGCCTATTTTTTTAATAGATCATCTCACAAAATTAGTATGCGTTATATTCTTTGGGTGAGAGGCCATCACCAACTGAAACTAAAAATTTACTTAAAAAACATTGTGATATAATATCACAAGCAGAGCCATCTGCTTTTTCATCAATCAATGTAAATATTTTTTATTCATATGATAATTAACAAATATAGTCTGAAAGCTTCTTCAAAGAGTGGTAACATCTATATTTAAGTATATCTACTCTTTGGCCTCTTTCCTTGCATGGCGAATGCACTATATATTGAATAACACAAGTCAGTTTTTGAATGGTTTGACTGAACGCAAAAAAATAATTGCATTCTACAAGCGACACCTTTACATATAAGAATTTCAAAAAAACGATTAATTGCTCGTTGATAAAATTGCATTGTTATTAAGTTTTTTGTGAGTAACTTAAAAAGTAATGTGCCAAGCTTTCCTGCAGAAAAACAAGATAAAGTTCCGCTAATTAACACTAAGTAAGAGCTTACCAGTTCAAGTCCTGCAGGTGGGCCAGCTTCATAATGCTTGATAGAAGTAAGGCGGTGGTTGTTTGGTAATAAACTTGCTACTTCAGTCATGTTGATTCCATGAAGCACACTACCAGCGTATCCTAAAATATATACAAATTATAATAATCAGAAAATTTAAAGGATTGGAATAAATCGTTTATACATTTATTATACCATTAATTTGAAATAGGCTTTCGCCAAATTGAAACCATACGGTTACCTTCGCCATCGTACTACGGCTGAATTTTAAATAAGCAGATGCCCTCGATTTATTAAAAAACCAATTTTTCCACATCTTTATTCGTGATGTTTAATAAAATTTGACTTCCTATTGTTCTTTAGACATATTATGCTGTGGTTTTATCATATCATTTTAATGTTTTGACTGACTTTATTTTGTAAATATATTTCTTTGCTTATCATAGTCCACATAATACAGTTCTTAAAAATTAATAGAAAAAATATGACTTCATATGAAAATGGGCGGATTTAAAATCATTTGAACACTGAAAACGAGAAAAACCGGAAAGCAATTTTATCTGCAACAGGCGATCTGATTTATTAAGAAACCCATTTATCTACTAGAACTATTCAATAGTCATTCTTATCTATTCAGAAACTTAAAGCACAGGTTATATATCATGATATTTAAGCTGTGCTTAAAACATTAATTGGGCTGACCTGTTTTTTTTAGCGATTTTTTTAAGTCAAAATGACTTCTTGGAATATATGACTGTAATATAATGATATGATGTGTCAATATTACCCAGTTTTGGAATGACAAATTAAAACGCGCTTTTATTTGCTTCCAAGTAAACGAAGTGATTATCATCTCATTAAATTCCTATAAAGTTTCTTCCAAATCAAATTAACTAAATACATATGTTCTGCTACAAACAACGACGCAATATATTAAAAATATGCATCCAGATTACCTGATTTAAATATATTTCGTAAACATATCAATTTGTGTAGGATAATTTGGTTTGCCTAAACAATGTGCGTGGGCTTTAATATTCAAATATTTATCATAATCGTTTCTCTTTCCATATATGCTATTATACTAGATTTTCACGGATATCATTCAGCATGATTTCTCGAAGAATGTGAGATTGGATTTTTGTAGAGTTTTTCGTCTCGGTTTTCTTTGCACTTTCAACTTTATTCTTTTTTTGCAGCGATTCTTTTTCATCTTAACATATAACCAAGTTTATAATTAATTTTAGAGAAAATACTGAAATCTTTTAGGACCAACACTTTATTTTAATACTTTGAAAGTTTTGTCAATCGAAGCCTGTAATTTATAGTTTATTTAAATCGACTTTCTAATATAAACGGATGAGGCTTAGAGAGTGAAAGTGCACTTGTTCTGTTGTTCCAATTTAACTTTAAGTCTTGGAGTTTCAAAATATAAACTTTTAAAGTTTTTTTCGTCGTTACTGATTATCGTTACATAATGCTTAAATCCAGGTGTTCCACATTGTGACGCTTACCATCGCTTATAAATAAGTAAATGATATAATATGCAAGTAAGTTCAAATAAAAGAAGTAAATGAAATGAATTCTGAATTAACAGAAACCTTTCTGACTATCAAAACAATTGAAAATGTTTTTGGCTCAATGTAGACTACCTATGCACAAAAAGATGTTTCTTGAAATTACCTCTATTACACGCAAGTAGTTTCAAACTTCCAGTAGATCGGTTACAAGAAAAACAGCTTAATGTTACCATATTAGTAGCGTTAAATTACGAGTTCCTCAACTGATCTATTAATTGATTAAGTTAATTTCGTTCGTTCAATACATAGAGTCTTTCATGTAGAAACATTGAACGGAAACTTGCAATTTTTCATTACCACTTACGTTAAATAAGGTTACATATCGACATCCAAGACATATTTAATCGAATGAGTCATAATCGAGTCCTGTGGAGCTCCTTGATTTTCCATAAATGGAGAATGAAAATTTAACTGCGACCGGTTTATTTGCAATTTTAAGCAATATTTAGCTTTAAGTTACGTGAACGTATATTATTAACGCCATCAGCTAAAATCGTAGCCATTTAGTACTGGTACAAGTACTGATGTTTAAACATGTTATAATAATTACGCTACTGGTGTATCAAGTAATTCTTTGTCTACTTAGGATTAGGTATCTTTGCAATTATTTCTTAAAATATATTAACCTACAACACCATTGTTTTATTGTTTACAATATATTCTATTTTAAAGTAATAAAAATGATTATTGCCACAATTGCCAGTCATTAAAATACTAGAAAATACAAATATTTTTGCAAAAACTATTTTTAATAATCTTTCGAACGTTCCGCCACTGCTTATAATATTTATTCTCTTTTGACAAAGTACTAAATCAATTCAATTAGAGGTGGTCTTTTTGCTAACGAATTTAAATTAGTAAGTGCCATTACTGGGTTAAGGCCACCACCTAATCATATAAATCAATTTATTTCGATAAAAATGCTTAACGTGAAGTCAAGTGTATAATCGTTGATTAAATAGGCAAATAATAATACAACAGGTTGGTATAACATGCTGATTATCTGACGAGGAATTTCGCATGTCGTGTAAAGAATCATCAGAATGATCATATTTTGAATGTATCCATTTTTCATTTAAGCGACACAATCGAGGGAATGCCGTTACGAAATAATTGAAATTTAATTGAAGACTGTTAATGTTATTTGAAAATGTCCATGATTTTTTCACAAAAATTAGAATCTCTCAGTTTTTGAGTTTCTGTATCTTGAGCAATTGTTTCCACTCAAGACTCGGACTTTTTACACAACGAACATCTCACATATCAAGGAAATCATTATTGCTGTTCTAAAAAGGAAAGTGTGTGACAAACAAATCATAAAACAACTATATGTACTTGTCACAATTTAATCGCCTTATCCATCGCATTGCCAGCTTTGTTACCTTCAAAAAGACATGTGAAATCCTAATATCTCTTTATTTGGCAAGTCCGTAGGCGATATGCATTGCGAAAGATATTCAATACAAAAAACATTCCCATGAAATACCTTTATATGGCTGAAAATTACATCTAATAGAATTCCATTTATGCAAACAATAGACGTTATGACATTCTTTCCATATAATAAAGTTACAGCGCGGTTTTTCGTAGTTCTAGTTAAGACCTTGATTTAGCTTTAAGGCAAAAGAGGATTACCTGGAAAAAATGTGAAAACAGTGGCGTCATTCGCGTTTAATTTGCATAAAAGCTGGTTTGTACTACATAGTTTCATAATTAATTTGTTTTTTAATTATTCATACGTTAATCATGTTATAATTATATTTTTTATTCATTTCGAATCAAATTTTTTTTTAAGATGTTTTAGTACAGCTTTTTATTTTCAGCTTGGTTGGTCAAAAGCTCAGTTTCATTAATGACAAATATTGCCTTATAAAAATTTTATAACTGGGGGCTTTTTCGATCATCATTTTTGCAAAAATAATACTTCTACTTATGATTTTTGAGGTTCTCTTTCTATAGTCAAATTATGACACTTGCAAAAAAAATTAAAATGGTCTTTGCATGTTTTATTTCGGTAGCTGTACGTTATTTTTCTTATCAGTATATAATCAACTTTGAAGTCGTACCATTTCATTTTCGTTATAATCAACGCATGTTTAGCAAACTATATATCTAATTTGCTGTTCACAACAGGTAAATACAGTTAAGGGTGGATACGCCTCTGTACCAAAAAAATTACTTTACAAAACACGTACGTACATTGACTATCTCTTGACAATCTCACGAAAAAAGTTGTCTTGATTGTCTCGAAAAATGTACAGTTCTGAAAGAAAACGGCTCAAGATTGTAAAATTAATTTTTGCCATGATACTGTTGCTTCCTTGAAACAATAAAATATAATGGTTGGCGGGTTTTATGATGATATGGATCTTGATCTTAGTTAAGTTCAAGATTTCTTAAATTTGCTATAAACTGTTAGCAGATTGTTCCCCATATATTAAACATTTCCAGCTAATGAACTTCATTTTCATGCCTAGTTCCAACCTGTTGTATTTTGTAACATTTAGATATTTACATTTAGTAACAAAATACGATACTTGACTTAGTTTAGTTTGCAACATCTAGTTTCCAAATGTGTTTCAAATATTTGTTTATAAGTGTAGGTACTTGCATTCCTCTTGACGATTGTATGTGTATGCCTAAGTATGTCATGTTCCAATCCGAAGAATTCAAAAGTAAAACCTGTCGCTTGGAAGTAAGATTAAAAATCGATTCTCACTTAATATATTACCACATGGACATGCCATTGTATTTTTAGACATGACTTCATACCGGTGTTTGCATAAACTAAAGCAGTCTCGGGCATGTACTTCTACCTGTATCAGGAACATAAAAGACCAAACCTATGTATGTTTATTAACACCTATATCAGTTTATTACATTTATACAGTGACTTGTGTCAATCCAAAATGGATTCGTTCAGGTTCTTCAGCCCACGCACCAGGGCAGCCGTATTGTTGGATTCCACGATGTAAAGTTTACATTAAACTATATTTGTGCATTATTTTGCTGCAAAATTCTTTTGCGGATGATTTAACAGGCCAATTATTTGAAACTAAAGACATTACCAATCTACCCTTAAAAATTATGGCAGCAGTTTTTACGTGTATTATTAAGTTTATTTAAGTGTGAAAAATTAGTTCTCCACTTATCGGTTAAGACTAAAATCAAAAATACAAAAATTCCCTAAAAAAAACCAATAATTAGCTATGTCCTAAAATACTACGGGACTCACAGTTGACTTCCCAATTAGCAATATTATTTTGTAAACAAAAATGTATAAGCCTTGAATTGACGTTTTGAAGTTATGGTAACTTGTACGGGACATTATTTAATGGGCGAAGAAGCTGTACCCTCTAACGATAAGGACGATTTATTACAATAATTTATAGTAGGAAGACTACGCAAGAAATACGAAGAGTGCGGAATATCGGTGATCTGATCTAAAACTAAGTACATTTGCGTAGGAATCTCTATCAACTGTCTTTACCAACATAAATCGAGGAATTAAGAGCGTTCACAGAAACGGTCTACCGAAATCG